ATGGGTTACTCTACAAATAAATCAGTAAATCACCAGTGGTTTAACCATGTTGCAGTGCAATGACAACACGAACAAACGAGGAAAGAGAACGAAATACAATAATGTGTTTTTTTTATAGGTTATCATATTAATTTACCATAATCAGTTATGATTTAAAAAATGTGACTATCACAACGTTAAAGCGCAATTATGTAACTAGCGAAACATTTTTTGGCGCGTCAATAAAAAAACAAAAAAATCTATAGACAGTACTGATTTTGGATATGAGATAAATTTAATATATATAATTCATGAATCTTCTTTACGAAATACATTGATCTATTGATCTCGTTGAATAAAATAATGTGAAGCTCTCCTGAGGCTCGCAAGATATGATTTTATTCAACTCGTTCAATAAATTCAGTAATGAAACTACTCTCTTATTTACGAAAGACCGGTAGGGCCATTTCAACTTCATGAATTATCGATTTCATGTTCATGAATTCAGAATTTAAACTTCGTGAATTCCCGTTTTCAACTTCTTGAATTTACGAATCGTGAATTCGTGAAATTGAAATTGTGAATTCACAAAGTTGAAATCGTGAATTCACGAAATTGAATTCGTGATGTTGAAATCGTGAATTCATGAAGGTGAAATCGTGAATTCGTGAAGTTGAAATCATGAATTTGTGAAGTTGAAATCGAGAATTCATGAAGTTGTAATCGGGAATTCATGAAGTTGAAATGCCCCCACAAGTCTTTCGTACTTATTAGTCTGGAGTTCCTTCCCCTTATTCTTTCCGTAGTAAATGTAGGCAGGGAGCCAGACTACCTTCCGTCTGGAGTTCCTTCCCCTTATACTTTCTGTAGTAAATGTAGGCAGGGAACAAAACTACCCTCCGTCGGTTTTAAGTTTATTGCAACAAAGGTCACATAAAAGATTAAATAATATTAAACATTAAATAAAAGACTGTTACTCTTGTTCTAATTAGAATGGCATGCAAGTTAGTGGAAAACCGTCTTGTTTTGAAATGTTGACCGACTTTTAAATACATGTCAAGATGAAGATTGTAAAGCCTGTACTTTTAAACCTACAAAAAGAAAACTTCCTTAACGAGTTTCACAAAGTAGACAGGCTATTCAGACTAATATTTGAAAACCTTTTCAATGTAAATGGTTGAATATGATATAAATCAAAACCTTCAATGTAAATCCTCAACAAACGTAAATTGTTGTCAGGGTTATTGAATTAAAACAACATAGCGTGTTTGGTGAAATATACAAAATTTAGCAATGACATAAAAGCGGACAATGGAAACCACTAAAGGAGTGTAGGTATGACACAATTTGGAATACACAGTATCAATTTATATGAAATTAGAAAATGAAGAAATATTTGTTTAACACTTTAAGTATAGCCTATATTTTAAAAAGCTGACTTTGATAATAACGTTACCGTTTGTCCCACTTTCTTATCCAATCAAATGCTCCAATGTTTTTGAAATATACCGGGACTGGTGTATGTGAAAAATAAGTTGACTTATTTTAACAGGTATTGACGTGGTATCTGACAAATATGACGTCATGAATATGGGCGGAGTTTAACATTAGACAATGAATGTGGCATGCGAATAAAGTTAACAAATAAGAAAGCGATTTCATACGGTTATTTATTAATTCAAGCTTTCACTTGTATAAAAAATTATTGAAACAGTACATTCCCTAGACCGTCATAATAATAATTCAGACATTAGAAAACAGTTTGTGGCTATCACTGAAAATCATAGACATAGAGTAATTCAATTAGAGAAATCTCAAAGTTCGAAACTGACACATATATTAAAAAATCATACAGAATATCCATTTTTCATACAAACTTTTTCTCCACATTTTGTTAAAATCTCCATTTTTTTTAACAGTTGACTTCGAACCCTATGCTCTCGTTAGTCAACTCGTGCATGCGTGAATAAAATATTCTGCGAAGTTCAGAAAAAAAAGGATTTCGAAGATACCGTTGTAGCCTTGCAGTAATATAATTCTCCATTTTTCCTTGAATCGTTGCGACAAAATTTCCATTTCTGCACATAAACGGAAGTGCTCTATTTCAACGGTAATAGGATAACCAGGCTCTTGCTTAGTCTCCGGTTGTAGGTTGCGGGTTTCTGCCCACTCCCTCCAGACGTGCCCTGTCCAGTTGTTGTTTTTCGTTGTATGAAAGGACACTGTATTTCGGTTTCTTCTTAATGTCATCAGACGACAAAGGCTTTTCAAATCGGCCTGCAATTATAAAAGAAAATCACTTAAATATGATTTTCAAAGTTTTTTTTAATAATTGTAACGGCATTTTAGGCAGATTAGCCATGTTACGTTTGAATACTTTACTGTCATCTACTTTGAGGTTCGGTGCTTGTTGGGCGTAGAAAAGCTGCGCACCTGGTCATGTTACAATTTGTATTTTCATTCAAAATATGATGCAGTTAGATATTGCGAGAATTCGAGAATATTTTTTATAAAATATTTACCTGAGCTATTACCTCTCTTTGTGTATGCATATAAATCCTGCGTATCAATATTAAGCAACCGTGACCACATCAGCATATTTGACAGAAAATGGTTAAAAAATATGATTCTTGTTAAAGTCACCATCTCTATTCATTATGTCATCGCAGGGTTGCTCCATGATGACTAAGGATGTAAAAATACATAAAAACCACAGGTCAAAATACTCCGAGCATGTGTTGGCCCTGTCAATCTATACTAGTTAGGGCGGGACTCGTATTACAGCAAACGCTGTACCGACACTTTATACGTGACTTATTCCATGAAAGTGGGTCAAACGGTAAGCCAGTTATAGTTCATATTTTAAAAAATATAGAACTTATTGCTGCGCTCCGCTACGCTACGCTTGCAATAAATTCCATATTTTTTAAAATCTGAACTATAACTATTACTTACCATTGATTTTACGGCTCAACATTTATTTATTGTATCATAGTTCGGAGACCTTTCTGTTGAAAATGTGTCTGGGTTAAATCGTATACATATACATGCACAGTGCGTTAACTGGAGTGCGGGTATTAGTTACCCGCACTCCAGAGCATGCCCATTGATTGGCTCATTTTTGCTGGAGTTTACATATTGTGACGGCAGAGAAAAAGAAAGCGACAGAAATGTCAGATGTTCGTTCATTGGTTCATTTTTGCCGGGGTTTCATATTTTGACAACAGGGAACGTGCTTTTATGTTTGACTATGATAAAAAAGAGAAAGAACACCAAAACACTCGGCTACGCCCCCTCGTACAAATCAGATAGCCTCGTGTTTTGGTGCTCTTTCTATTACATAGTATACCATTGATTTTATGGCACACCATTGATTTTTTGGTATATCATTGATTTATTGGTACATCATTGGTTACATGATATAACATTGATTTTATGGTATACCAATGATTTTATGGTAAACCATTTAATTCATGGTATATCATTGATTTTATGGTATAATGGTTTTATGGTACGCCATTGATTTTTGATATATCATTGATTTTATGGTAAACTATTGGTTTTATGGTATTACATTGGTTTTATGGTACTACATTGATTTTCGGTATAGCATTGATTTTATGACATACCATTGATTTTATTGTATATTATTGATTTTTGTTTATCATTGGTTTTATGGTACACCATTGATTTTATGGCATACCATTGATGATAAATATCATTGATAGCAAATACCATTGATAACAAATTGGGTTTTCATAAATAATGGAGGGACTTTTTAAAATGAAAGTACACCTTTTAAAATGCATTTAATGAGTTAAAAACTATGAAATATAATAATTATGTGTAGTCAAATATGTCAATGCAATAAAAAAAAATAAACAAAATAGTAGAACATTGTTTTATTAATCAAACATATACAAAAGACGCATTGCACAATTAAAATAATGCATTTACTCAAAAAAGAATACTTTACATGCATTTATATATAATACAAAATATAGCGAATATTGTTCATTTTTTTACAAAAAATACTTTTATTCTTCAATTTACACACACTGTTACTCTTTATTAAAAATTCTGCCGACACTGTTTGAATTAAAGCTATTACATTTTACAGACTTATTTTACCAAAACATATTTGATATTAATAAATATGTATGTATATTAACATATTAACATATCGATATACAAATAAATAAACATATATTTTGTAATATTAAACTGTGTTTTATTAAATGTACGTGTTTTAAAGGTAAAATATTAGCAATTAGTGTAGAACATAATTATATGACATATATTGCACTTTGAAAATGTCAGTTTAGTTAATTAATTCACTGTCAATGATTGCATTGATTTATTATGTGTTTGCCAGAATTAGTAGAATATACATGTATGGGGTAAAAAAATACATACGAAAGTTTTTAGAGTTTTTAGAGTTTTGACTTCATATCATTTATTCAATTGCTTTCACAATAAATTTAAATAAATAATGTGTTTTGTATGATTTCTTTCAATTATTTTAATATCAACTTCCTGATCAAGTGCAGTATTGATATATCATTTAAGCTTGTTTAAAAAGTTTTGTGTCAGATAACCGTCTATAGGACGCAAATATTTACACGTTTAATGGTACAATTCATATTTATAACTTTTGGTAAGCCGTTAGGTCACAAAAATTGTTTATTTTTATTATTATAATTATTTATTTATCTATCTATTTATTCATTCATTCATTCATTCAATTATTCATTCCTTCATTCGTTCGTTCGTTTGTTCTTTCGTTCGTTCGTTCGTTCGTTCGTTCGTTCATTTATTCATTTATTTATTTATTTATTTATTTAGAAAAAAAAAGAAAATTGATTGACACTAAACTTTTCACGCTGGTTTACATGGGTTATGATTTGTTTTTAAAAGAATTAGAAAATCATTTTTAAATCAGCAACAATGAAATAAAAAATTACCTTATCTTATTAGTTATCCACTTATTTTTGTTTGTGTAAAGAATACGTCTTCTGTAATTTAATGATATCGGTGACAAATGTCAATTTTCATGTTCTAATTGCTTAGATGCATCATGTAGTTTTCAAAACGGACTTTGCTCTAGTGGTTGTGAAATAGGTTTTCATGGCATTAAATGTCAAAAAAGTTGTTCTTCGAATTGCGAGTCTTGTGACCAGGATAGTGGTTATTGCATTGATTGTAGAAAGGGGTTAAAAGGAGCTGTCTGCGTTGAAAAATGTAGCAAAGGTTGCAAAGATGATAAAAATGGTTTTGATGTATGCGAAAGGTACACAGGTACTTGTTCTTTGGGATGCGAAGCAAACTTATACGGAGATTTGTGTGATAGAAGGTGTGACGGGTGCATGAATGGTGAGTGCTTAAGAAAATCTGGCGCATGCGTAAATGGATGTAAGCAAGGGACATACGGTTATTATTGTGAACATAACTGTAGCATCGGTTGTGTAGGTAACTGCAACTCATATGGAGTTTGTGAGTTTGGATGCAAACAAGGATGGATTGGAACACTTTGTGACACAGAGTGTAGTCATTTTTGTGACAGAAAAATGTGTAATTTGACCGGGGAATGTACTCGAGGTTGCGTTTCTGGTCATTTCGGACCTTTTTGTGAGTATGTATGTCCAGAAAATTGTTTGTTTAACTCTTGTTCAAAAGTTGGTAAATGTGTAGATGGTTGCATTATTGGATTTTACGGAGACACGTGTAATAACAGATGTTTGCAACCATGTGCAAACTTAACTTGCGATCGAAAATTGGGTACTTGCAAGCAAACTTATAATGGTAAGTTTAGTTTTCATGTTTAGCTATATGGTAAACGTCGTGTTATGTTAAAATAAGTTTGTAAATCACTCAAAACACAAGCATGATTTTACGCTTGAAGTTTTTAATCTATGTTGTTAGCAAATAATACGCAAAAAAAAAGAATGACAAATTAACTGGAACTTTTTTGCACAGTTATTTTTATGATTGAAAATCACAATAACAAAACAAATTTTCGGCATCTGTTTAGTACCAAGAAGCTCGCATTTACAACAATAATAATAAATGAAAAAATACAATGTTTAAGAAATTCGGGTGTTGATTATAAAACAGCATTTAATAGATATAACTAATATGTATGTTTCATCTATAGATGCACAGGTAGCACCAAAAGAAGCTGATCCAGAGCTTTCATTAGAGGGAATTATAGGTATCTCTATTGGAGCTGTTGTCGTTGTCATCATCTTTGTGATCGTCATTGTTTGCTGCATCAATTACAAGAGGTATGTACAAGATACCAGCCCTCCATCAAATCAACCCAATAAACCCTTAAATGCCTGGAAGTATTTTACATAGACATAAATAGTGTATGAATGAAGTTCAATGAGCTATACTTTTATTGACCAATGATTCGTTTTTCTGGTTTCGTAACTTTGAAAATTAAAGAAAAAAAAACAAGGAAATTAGGGTATAGAATATAAAGGATGTATAACATAATTCGAATCACAGAGGCGTTAAGAATAAAAAGGAACAACTTTGAGATGTTTTGAGTAAAGATATTGAATTTTCATAATTTCTTCTAATGCCTGTCAAAATTTTCTTCATTGTTTAGATACTGACTTTTCTTCCTAAATCTGTTTATGTTTTAATGATGAAAAACTTATTTTTAACGCAATCAAAAGGAGTTACAGGCGGCGTGCACAACTTCCTTCAATTACTAATCTAAATTCATACACTATCACCCCAATCCCATCACTTTTGTTTCCTTTTGGATTGTAATTTACTGGTTTGTAGACTGGTAGTTTATACAAACAGTCGTATTGCTTTCCAAATTTGTATTTTTTAAAGTGTGTTAAATATTGTCCTTTTGTAAAGTTTAAGGACTTTCCAATGAATGTTTCGTATTTTTATTTGAATCCTAAATCTCCTGTAACCGAAAGCGTCTGACCTTTGCCATAATATGATCATAGCAAACCGTATGAAATGGCTCTAAATTGTTGGCTCAATTACTTTCTATTCTCATCTGTATATCCCTAAAACTGATCAAGGAGAGATTCATAAATGGTAAGAAATTAAGCAGATTAAAGGGTTAACAAAATATATCTTTAAGCTATGACTAAAGAAGTGAATAAGAAGTGGTGCGTTCTCGGGATACGTTTTCTTTTGTGTATCCAATTATTACGTTAGCAAATAATTGAACTCTAATTAAATGTAAAAGCTACAAATCATGCAGTTTGTAATTAATCGTTACGTTATATAAAAAATCACCGATTTACCTTTATTGTCATTTGTTTAAAATGGTTTTTAAGGTTTGAGTGTTGGTCCAATGGTAAAAACTTTGTTTATCTTATTGATTATTTTCTGCTTCATTTACATTTAATTTTTTCATGTAATGCCAAGTGTTTTGTAAATGTTTCTTGCATGGAGTTTAGTTTTCATTCCCTAGACGTGTTGACGATTTAACCCGTTCACTGTTTTTTATTTGTTTCGATTTCAACTTTAAAAATATATACTGTCGAAATTGTAACAGATAAGAATAAGGTAGTCCCCTTTCATGTCTTTACGCTATAACGCTCTTTTAGTATAAAATGATTACTTATAAAAAAAACTTATATATTGGTATGCAGTTCAACAGTAATATTAAAGATAAAAACTCGAAAGATTTTTTTTCTAAAAAGAAAATTTAAAAGAGGTCCAATCTCTCTTAGGTTTAGTTGTCGCAAGCCTTGTAACTCGTACATATCAGATGCCAACTCGAGTTTGAATAAAACTACAAAGTAATTTCGTTTATAGGATGCTGTTATGTTACAGCGGCGTTTGTTACTCGGACAATATGACGATGACCAAAACGACATACACTCTACCTTCCTGACGTCATTGAACGCTTATCGACGCACAGATCACTCCACAGTACAACGTCAACGAACTACCCGGTTGCCAGAGTAGTTGGTGACGACAACGAGAAAGATTTTGTTCTATTTTAACGTAGCGATGCTCTAGAAACTTTTGACGTAATTAATTGGCGGGCGGCTTAAATGCCGAATACTCAAAATATAGACGATGATATTTAGTTTCATAATAGCAACCAGTTCACTCAAAAAACAATAAGTACTCCATATTTCAATATCTTTTGATTTTAGTTTCATTCATCAAGGACATTTGCTATGATGTAGCTATAATTAGTTTGTTAGTTGTTCTTATTTTTACCTGTATGAATGAAGAGCTGTACTGCCTTTTGAACGCATCTCGCTTTTGCTTTATCTCTAATTCCGCAAATGAAGTGCCCGTGAGTTATATTTAAAATATCAGACATAATGAATAAACAACATAACAAAAGATCATATATACCTTGAGAACACTTTAAAACGTAAATTCCATAAAATCTATGGCTCCGAATAGTAATTCAATGTTTCAAATACCGTTATACAATAATTTTAGGCAGAATAGGTGCAGGGAATTATGGGCTTTTTTGTAAAAGGAAAGACCAAACTCAATGTACAAACTCATTTTCATGATCATTTTTTAAATAATCATTTCTTACCAAAAACATACATCGTATATAATCTTTTAGTAACATGTTTTGTTCGTATAATTAAAATGATAAATTTTCGGTTGTGATAAAGTAAAAAAAATTTAATACATGTAGTTACATATATGATTTATGAAGGAAAAACGAGCGAGGATTTAATATTTTCCCATATTTTTAGAATCACAACAGCAAGGGTTAAGTGTTTTGTTGCATCTGTAAAAAGTTGTCCTGTACTTCACCTCAGTGTTGTAATACTTTTCTGGTCCTTCAGACTCACTGATTGCAATACCTTAGCGTTTGAATAGCGCCAAAGTTCGTGTCAAGTGTCGTGAGAGATGTTGCAGCGTTCATTACCTCTCATGAACGGACTCTATCAAACCGAGTCTGTTGTAATAAGCGTGTAACTATTGTTATCGTAGTTCTTGAATGAAGTGAACATTCTGCACATTATGTTTTGTTTATCTTAGTTCAAGTTATTCTCGCTAAATTTGTCTTATTAAACAATGTACTGTTTCACTTTGAAAATGAATTCGTGGTTTATATACATGTATATTTCTTTTCCACATTCCACATTGTATACTTAATCGAAATTTTCGATTAAGTATACATTATTATACGAAACATTGTTCAAAAGACTTAAACAAAGTGTAGAATAAATGCGACTCTATTATAGTATCCTGTCGAGATAACTTATTTCTGTAGTTTATACAGAGTATATATCCAAGAACTGTTTAATTTTATATTTATCACGGTTCTGACTGCCTGTGTTTGTATAGCACATGAATTGTATATGTTTGGCATGTGTATTTGTATATGTATATGGCTATATATGAGCCGTGTCATGACAAAACCAACATAGTGGGTTTGCGACCAGCATGGATCCAGACCAGCCTGCGCATCCGCGCAGTCTGATCAGGATCCATGCTGTTCGCTATTAGTTTCTCTACTTGTAATAGAGTTGGTACGCGAACAGCATGGATCCTGATTTGACTGCGCGGATGCGCAGGCTGGTCTGGATCCATGCTGGTCGCAAACCTACTATGTTGGTTTTGTCGTGACATGGCTCATATGGGTTTATATCTGGGGAAAAGGGTATACAGTTTATTCGTGATTTTTTTTCAAAATAAATAGATGTATAATATTTTAAATATATATAGTGTTAGTTTTCTGGACTTAAAATTATTACACATCAGTGTCGAAAAAAAGTGTTGATTAGATAAAATATAATTGATTACATTACAGTTTTTTTATCTTAAAAAAGATATTTGGACCTTTTTATGATATAATTAATATTGAGCAATCAACATTTTTCACTTGCCAAAAACAAATCATGTAATATTCATGAATTTATATTGAGCACGTAACTTATTATTCGGTGAAAATGTTTGCGTCACATTTGATATAATTTGGCTTGTTACTCAGTCAAAGAGTTTCTGTTTTTTTGGGGGGTTTTTTTGGTTTGTTTTTTTGTAATGGAAGATTGGCAAAAATGGTGAAAATATAAAATGGTAATATTCATACAGATGCGATGTCGATTTAATTGTCATACGTTAGTTTATCCATATGAGCCGCGTCACGACAAAACCAACAGAATAGGTTTGCAACCAGCATGGATCCAGACCAGCCTGCGCATCTGATATGCGAACAGCATGGATCCTGATCAGACTGCGCGGATGCGCCGGCTGGTCTTGATCCATGCTGGTCGCAAACCCATTATGTTGCTTTTGTCGTGACGCGGCTCATATTCTCTTTATTATCGCAATTTCACCCAGTGACCTTTTTTTCACTGACATATGAAAAATATACAACTGAAAATATGTCTTATATAATTATGTATATATTGTGTCATAATGAAATATTTTATAATTATACAATTAGATGTGTTGGTTTGCAATATTAGAAATAAACTATATTTTATATTACAAATATCTTGTTTTTATTTATACTTAAACTCTACTTAAGCATTAATATAAAATTTTGACATTCTAATACAAAAAAAGATATATTTGTTTCTTAAATTTATTGTTTTCTTTCTGTTTAAGAAATCCACGACTGTTCACATTTATGTTCTGTTATAAGAGGAATGCAAAATATAAAAAGGTTGTTTTGATGTCAGCAAATAATTTCATGTTTTCTTACATCATGTACATAAAACGTTAAATTTTGCTTCAAAACTATTGTAATTCTTTTTTTAAGTCTGACCGACTTCATAGATGCCCCAAAGATAACTATAAAACTTGCTCTAAAATAAAACTGTTTTGTGACCAAGGGTTTGTCTTTGTGTCAGGAATTCAGTTACCTTCACTAAACTTTGACATGTACCTTTAATTCCTTACAATATTTTTAGTACAAGAAAAATTGATCGACGAATAAGTAAAGTTTAGATTATGGCATTATAAAAAATACCTAAACATTTTTGAAGAGGCAAAATGTAGTATATGGCTTACTTAGAATGACTTGGGTAGCGTTTACGATGCAAAACCTAGAGTAGGGTTTAATGAAAGTTACTGTGTAGCTTTGAAGGACCAAACTAAAGAGAAGGCTTTTATAAATGTTTCTTTGGTAGCATTGGAGGGGCCGCCAAATATGTCATTCATAGACTGAATAATTCAAGACAAACTCGACTTAAGTCTAATATTCATTAAGTTTACGAAAGACTGAAAAGTATTTGAACAACTCTCGAGTCTGGTTTCCTGGAAAAACTGGTGTCATATGAAGGACCATGGTCATAACACAAGTAGTCCTCGTACTTATCCTGGGTTGAAAGGCAGGCATCTTGACCACTAGACTACCGCATTTCCTGGGTTGAAAGGCAGACATCTTGCCCACTAGACTACCGCTC